TTTCTGATACAAAAGAGGCATGATCTGACTCAGGTTTTAACAGGATCATCATGGCTATTTTTCAGTTTCTGGACAGTTAGGCCCTCTTCCTGTGTGTCGAAGCTGTTAAGGAGTATTTTTATTTCTAAGATGCTTCTGACTTTTTCTTGCATTCCCCCCACTGCATAGGAGACATTGGATGGAGAGTATGTGAGGAATGAAGAACCAAAAGCAGGCAGAGCAGATGAGAAGTGCTTTGGTCATGCCTGACACCGCCCTGCCCAGAGACAAAATGGTGAATAACTGAACTTTGCAGACTTCTGTTTCTTCTCTTTAAAAGACTAACACAATCCACTTGATTTGCCTATACAAGCCAGATCTGTCATAATGCTGCAAGTGGCAATGAATTTCTACAAACTAGAAAGCTCATCACCATCTTCATCCCCAACACAGGTCCCCTCCAAGTCCTCTGGCCAAGTCTTGGTTTGGCTGCTGGTGGCAACAGGAGCTGCATCTGTGACACTAACCTGGAGAGAGGGTCTCCAGATCCTGGATCAAGCCAGCCCAGACCCACTGGCTATAAATTCCCACTCTAGCCACGTCCTCCAAAGAAGCAAGGGAAGATGCTCCACACCTTCCAACACCATGGGGAAAATGAAATCAGTACCATAAAAGGAGCTCTCTGTCTACGTGCCCTGGGGGTGTCTGAAGATGCTCTGTGGGGCGGACAGATCTGACTCTGTCTCATCCGTTTCCTCTTTCTTCTAGCTGTGTGACTGGCCAAGGCGTGTGCTCTCTCTGAGCAGGGCTTCTTCATCTGTAAAATGCTTAGCTGGGGATCCAACTGGTATGTGGCAAAAGGGCGCAGAGGTACATGGCACCCACAGTTCATGTGTTTCCCCTGGACAAGACACTCGCACCTTCGCTCTTCCTACCTCTTAGACTGCTAGTGGTTTGAAGTAGGGGGTCAGCAAATCTCAGACAGTCCAGGAGGCCCGGGTGGCAGCGCAGCACACTTTCTGGAAGGTGACTGATTGTTGGGCTGAAACACCAGGAACGGTATTTCTGACAATATGTCCCCCTAGTGAAATTCCTTACTTTATCTGGCATAACAGGAAAAACACTCACGCTGACAGTGGTAATGGGGTGGCGCAGACAGATCCAGCCCGCCAGACCCCACAGCGACAGCCCCAAGTGGACTGCACTTGACGACTCAGGGCTTTGCGTGGGTCCTAAGGCAGTCTCTCGTTCTCACCTGGGGACCAAACTTTAGAAGAGCACCTTGTGGACACAGCGAGGCCATGGAGGCAGGCCAGGGAGCAGGGAGATGGCTGAAGGCCCTGGTTGGCAGTGGGTTCGGCGCGCACAGATCCACCAGCAGCCGCGCGAGGAACAAGAGCGCGGGTCTCACTCTCTCGAAGCACTAGCGCGGCGAGGGCGGGGTCCGGCACGGGGCGGGGCCATGACGCGCGACGCTAGCCAATGAGGCGCGCGCCCGAGGCCGAGCCTCCTGCGAGCCTTCTCGGCGCCCGCGGCGTCACGTGAGCGGCGGGGAGTGAGCACAGAGAGCTGCGGACGGGCGGCCGAGTGCTCCGCCGCAGCGACCCGCGGGCAAGCGGGGTGACCGAACTCGGGACCCGCCGCGGCTCGACTCGCGGCCACCGCCGAGCCTGAAGCAGGGCCCCGAGCCCCAGCTTGGCGCAGGCCGCGGGGCCGCAGCACCACCAGGGCCTGGCCGCCGGCCAGGCTTGCGCCAAGTTCAGGTGGGAGAGGCGCGGCGGGGACGGACGGCCGCGTAGACGCGGTCTGGTGTGACCCGGGAGCTGGCGGGGACGCGGGGAGGTGGCACTGCAGTCCTCGGTGCTGCGCTGTCCGGGGCTCAGCGCGAGTGCCAGGAGAAATGTGGGAGGAGCGGAGAACCCCCGGCCGAGCTGGAAGGGGTCGGCCGCGCCCGGGAGGATGACCCCTAGTCGCCACCACCACCTTCCCTGGATCCGGTTGACTTAACGCCCAGCCCTGCGGGTCTGTGGCGCGCCTTACGCACCAGCCCTCCCATATGGCCGGCGCCCGGCCGGGCCTGGAGAGCGAAAGGGGCAGGAGGACGTGCTGACCGGCTGGGGGAGGGATGGGGCCCCCGTGGCGGAGGGGTTACTCTCGGTCACCGCAGCTCTGTCGGAGAGGGGGCCACGCACCGAGGGTGGGTGCCCAGCGGGCAGCTCTCCTAGGCTCTACGGAGGGGTCCCACCGGTCTCCCCACGCCTTCCTCTACCATGCGCGTTCCCACTTACGAGTGGGCACCCACGCGGCCCCGCGCGCGAGCTCTTGGCGGACACCCGCACGGCTACATCATGCTATCCCGCCCCCCGCAGCCACAGGACATACCCTCACAACCCTTTGCGAACACCCACTGTGTTCACACGTTTCGCGCTCCGAGCCCCCCCCCCCCTTCCCTGGCACAGTCTCCGGGCTCCTTAGACCCAATGTTATCAGAGAGATGGCTCGGGAGGGACAGCCTCGGGGGCAGGGGAGAGTCCACTCCCACCTGATGCCCTCCCCTCTTCCCTCCCCACTGTGTTGTTGTTACCCATGGAATGCCCCTCTTCATTACAGCAGAAGGGCTGTTTTCTCCCACGGTCCCACGAAGGTGACGGTGCTGAGACCCCCCCAAATGTCTGAGCCCTTCCAGTCTCTCCCCTCCCAAGGACAGGGTAGCCCGTGAGAAGCTCCTCCGCTGCCCTACAGGTGCTAGAAGGGAAAGTCTTGGCGACTTTGGGGCCTGCGGGTGGAGTAGGGAGTGGAGACTCTTATTTTGAAGGGCAGCCCCCATCCGCCACCCCCGTGATTTGCACGCTGACCCAATGGCAAGCCCTTGGCCGGTGCTGGGCTTGTTATCAATTACTTGTTGTTCCTGCAGCCGCTGTGTCCCCGCGAGGATAAACAGCAGGCCTGGCTAGCCGAGGGACGGGGCGGAGTCCAGCACCAGGCCAGGGATGGTGCCCAGAACAGTGTGTCCCCTCCCCCTGCACGCAGCTCGCGCCACGTGCTGCTGTTTTTTAGGACCTGGGATATCTTCAGCCCTGGCTGTCCCTCTTTTTAATGCCGGCGCTCGGGAAGTCCTAGGGCCCTTTTCCACTCTCAGTAACTCAGTACCCTGCCTCAAGTACACACTGCTCTGCCCTGAGATCCTGTTGGCTGACCCAGACTGTCCCACTCCTGGGTCCCAGAATCACCTTTCACACTCATTCAGCAAATTCTGCCAGGCCATTTTTGACTCTGGTATTAAAGCCTTGGACTGAACAGTCAGAACAGCTTATATTCTGGTGGGGAGGTAGACGGGAAGCAAAGCTCACAAACACATAACCAAGATAGTTTCCTACAGTATGCTTGCTGGGAAGAACATAATATGTGGTGATGTAACAGTGACTTCTCAGCTGAGATATAAATAAGGAGCCCCCACCTGGCGTGCTGGAGGAAGAGGGACCCACGCAGAGGGAACAGCTAGGATAGTGCCGCATGGTGGGTGAGCAGTCAGGGATGGATGGCTGAGTAGAGCCCAGGTGCTCTGGGCTGCCTTGAGGAGATTGGGTCTTTGTTGTTGTTTTGTTTCGTTGTTGTTTTTGTTTTGAGTCTCATGTAGTTCAGGTTAGCCTTGAACTCACTGTGTAGCCCAGGTTGGCCTCAGATTTGTGGCAATTCTCCTGCCTCAGCCTCCCAAGTACTGGAATTCCTAGCATGAGGATTGGGTCTTATTTCTCTGGGACCTCTTTGGTGGTGGTGGTAGGGGAGTTTCCATCCACTCTCACCCAACTATACGTATTTTCCTATTTTATATTTTATCTATGAGTATCTTGATTTCTGTTCATCATCACACTTTAAAATATTAGTGGTAATTGCTTAATATCGTGGAATACTCAGTTGGTGGGCACATTTCAGGGAAGGTTTTAAGCAGGCCTGTTCTGGGTCCCAGGAGGGTTGGAGGCCCCCTGAATCCTTAGCATCCCAGCTGTGGGGGGCGGGGCGGGGAGTCAGAGAGACTACTGTTTACCACATGTGAAGGCTGGTCCCTGTGGCCTGAACTTACTGAGCCCTTGGTGTGTGCATATCACATAATAAGTGAGCCGCTTGTGTGAGTTCATTGGATGCTCACAGACCAAGATGGACACAGAGAGGCTGTGCTGCCTGCCTGAGGTTCCCCAGCTGATGGTTGCAGATATGCAGCAGAGCCACTGCTCAGCGGCCCAGAGTTGGAATGTGCCTCTGCCCAGTCTCATTGCCCTTCACATTGTCTGACACTTTCACTCCTTCCCAGCACCTGATATGGTGATGAGTGTGTATTTTAAAACATACACCTACTAGTTTTAAATCCTTAGCTGAGTATTTAAACCAAAAAATCAAATATCCTTCCTGGAGCTCCATGAAGCTTCCTGTCTGAGTTGGAAACTAAGGTCAAAGGCCCCGGCATCCCTAAGCAGGAGAGAGAGTTAGGGATTGTTGAAGTATGGAACATCTGAGGAAACTGAGGTTTGGGGGGGAAGCAAGGCCTTCACAGCTGATGATGATGCTGGCCTATTGATCACGGGCAGAGCTGGGTGCAGGCCTAGAGGCAGAAGGAGGTGAGTGTGGAGGTAATGCCAGGTTCTAGAGGATCTCTGGTTCCTGATGATGCACATTTCCCTTCCCCAATCACAAACACCCAGCCTGCCATGGTCACTGGGTGGGACAAAGGTCTAGTGAGGTGGCCTCATCATAGCTAACACTGTTGACTCTTTTTGGACACCAGACCTAGCATGGCCTTTGGCTTCAGAGGACGCAGTGTTCTCCTCTCTTCTCTATCAACATCCTCTGAGCCCCTTCTGGGTACCAGGTGTCATACCAGGCACTGGGGACACAGCACAGACAGTGAGTGCACAGCAGAGTGCACTGGCTAGAGGGGAGACAGGCATTAGCTGAGCCTTCCTGAGGCGGTGAGTGTCCCACATGGGGAGCGCAGTGGTCATGGGGTGCAGGGCAGGAGATCCGCCTTCCTCATTGATCAAGGGAATCCCATCTCCTGTCCTACTAGATGGTGGTGAGGTACAAGGAGGTCATACATACAGGGTGCTCTGCAACCTCTGATTGATTTTTATACCTGTGAATTACTGTCAGATGTAATGGGAGTGTTTTGATCAAGCCCTACTCTATCTCCTCTCTTTCCAGAAGAGGAAAGTGGGGCTCAGAGAGATCTGAAAACTGAATTGTGGACAGGCTGTCTCCCCCACCAGATGGGGAAATGGAGCAGCATGGGTGGGTGTTTATTTTTCTTTAACTTCTTTGCCTTTCAAACTACAATTGTCAGACTAAAATGCAGGCAGCCCAGTTAAATCTGAATCTCAGAAAAGACAATGTTAAAATATAAGAATGTCCCAACCAATAATATTGGGAGCATACTTATATTGAAAGTAATTCGTTTTTTAAAATCTGCAATTCACATTTATTGGGCAGCCTGTACTTTTATTTGCTCAATCTGGCAACCCTTCAAAAGCCCTAACTACACAGGGCCAAAGGGTAAATAGCTGTTCTCCCATCCCTGGTCTGAAACACAATAGGTGTGAAGCTGAGATTCCTGTCCTCAGATAAACAGTGGTTCCCTAATATTGGCCATTCTTGGGTCCAGAGAGCCTCCTCACATCCCCTCTCTTGCATTCACCCCGATCATTGATAAAAACACATATTTTTTTTCCAGGATCATTCTGGAAAATGTTTGAAACCAGAAGTGGCCAGGTTGTGCAATGAGCCTGGAGAGGGCTCTTTTGCAAACAAAGTGGTGCAATTTCAGAAAACACTTGCAGGGCCCTTTCTCCCTCAGGATGGAAGCAGGATCAAGGCGTTTGGCAATGGGAAGCCATGGGCAGGCAGTGAGGGCGGAGGTGTAGGGGTGCACAGACTCAGGAGGTTCCAGCAAGTGAAGCGTCCTCTGACGTCTTCTGATCAGGCCTCCCTTATTCTCTCTCCACAGCTGCCACCAGCACGGCCAGGCCAGCATGGTTGACCACTTGCTTCCAGTGGACGAGAACTTCTCGTCACCAAAGTGCCCCATTGGTTTTCTGGGTGACAGGCTGGTCGGCCGGCAGATATACCACATGCTGCCATCACCACTCTCTGAGGACGACAGCGACGCCTCCAGCCCCTGCTCCTGTGCCAGCTCTGACTCTCAAGCCCTCTGCTCCTGCTATAGTGGAGGCCCAGGCACCAAGGGCCAGGATAGCATCTTGGATTTCCTGCTGTCCCATGCCACACTGGGTGGTGGTGGCAGTGGGGGCATTGGGGACAACAGTGGTCCCATGACCTGGGGGGCCTGGCGGAGAGCCCCAGTGCCTATAAAGGGGGAGCATTGCTGCTTCCCTGAAATTCCTTTGGGTGACACTGATGATGTCCCCAGGCCCTTCCAGCCTACCCTGGAGGAAATTGAAGAGTTCCTGGAGGAGAATATGGAACCAGAAGTCAAGGAGACACCAGAGAGCAACAGTAAGGACCTAGAGGGCTGTGGCCAGCTCTCCTCTGCACCACACCGGAACTACCTCCATCCTGGTTTTGGAGGGAGAGAATGCTGTACCCCACCACCAGGTGGCACCAGTGTGGGTGGCACCCAGGGCCCAGGAGAGGGCCCTGTACCAGAAGGCCCCATTCCGGTGCTGCTGCAGATCCAGCCTGTACCTGTGAAGCAGGAATCAGGCACAGGGCCCGCCTCTCCTGTGCAGGCCCAGGAGAACGTCAAGGTTGCCCAGCTCCTGGTCAATATCCAGGGGCAGACCTTTGCACTCGTGCCCCAGGTGGTGCCCTCCTCCAACATGAACCTACCCTCAAAGTTCGTGCGCATTGCCCCTGTGCCCATCGCTGCCAAGCCCATTGGGTCAGGACCCCTGGGGTCTGGCCCCGGTGGCCTCCTTGTGGGCCAGAAGTTCCCCAAGAACCCAGCAGCAGAACTCATCAAAATGCACAAATGTACTTTTCCTGGCTGCAGCAAGATGTACACCAAAAGCAGCCACCTCAAGGCTCACTTGCGCCGGCACACGGGTGAGAAGCCCTTCGCCTGCACTTGGCCAGGCTGTGGCTGGAGGTCAGTATGGTGGGGTACAGGCTCAGACAGTGAGCAAGTCCCTGCTCCAATCTGCTCATTTGGCTGTATAGCCAAAGCCATTTTTTCCACCATTAGATAAGGCCGATTAGGAAGGGGAGGTGGGTGGGCAGGGGCAGGGCCAGAGGTGGCACAGCTGCCCAGAGATTTATTTGACCCTCTGGATTACTAAAGCCAGAAGTCACCTGGTTTCATAATTACCAGGTAAGGCTTGTTAAGACCTGAGCTGCCTGGTGGGTCTCCCAGTCCTGTGGGGCTGGGAGCAGCAGAAGGGCATTCATACTAATCAGGAAGCTGAGGGTGACAGCACAGGCTGTGTGCTAGGCAGAGACCTCCCCCCATGCCTTTCAGTGCCCATGGGGTAAGTATCATCATCACTCCCAGCTTTTGTCTGAGAACATGAAACTTGGATTGGGCATGTATCTGTCTGAGGTCACTCTGCTCTGTAAATAGGGTCTGTGCCCCAGGTGGTGAATCAGAGTGATTATATCCAGAAAGTGTTAGCTTCTGAACCAGGGAGATGAAGTTCTCTCACAGATGTTTATGGGCACATGGGCTGGGCTTGGTCCTTGCTTCTCCCTGGGAACATGATTCTGGAAGCCACAAAGGCCAACCAAGAGGGAAGACCAGGCTGGCTGACAGTTCTGGCTCAAAGATGTAGAATCCTTTTAGGTTCTCTGCTCTATATGGCAAGGCAGGTAAACTAGCCCTCAAAGGGTAGGGACCTTTCCCAGAGTTTCTTGGCCTTTGAGTGCCAGAGGCACTCAGGAATTCCTGTGTATCCCTCTCTCTCTGGGCCCTGGGTGCTGCTTACCCTCAGTGGGAGGACATGTCTACTTTTTCCTGAGGTGGAGACACCCTGCCAGAAACTCACACTTAGGTGTCACTGCCGGGTCCTCCTCGGTCTAGGACAGCCATCTCAAAGGGATTCCTAACCTGCCTGGGAGGGCAGTGTGTGCTATCAGCACATTCCTTGTCTTTGCTGCTGTTGCTGCTGCTCCTGCTGTGTCTGTATGATGTGTGCATATGTGTGCATGTGGATTTGTATAAAACTGAACCTTGGAAATGGACATAAAGCTATGTGTGTGCATCTTGCTTCTTTTTTTCCTGTGACCGTATGTATTTGTGCATCTTTTGTGTATAGTGGTGTGTGGGTGTATGCATATGTGTATATGTGGGTGTGGCACATGGGGACCTGTTTGTGGTTTTTGTTTCCTTGACCAGACTTTGGTTCCAAGAGACTTTGGTTCCATGAGAGTTGGCCCCAGGAAGGGTCCTGGCCTGCTAAGGTTGTGCCACGGGCTGGGAGCTGTAAATGCACTGTGACCTGTGACCCTGGTAGCCCCTTTCCCTTGAGCACCAAGCTGGCCAGAGAAGGAACTTTTCTCAGAGTGTCTTGGGTTATAGAAATCCTTCCCTCTTCCTGAGAGAGGATGTTACTCTTAGTCCTGCTCTCACCCACTCAGACAGCCCCCAGAGCCCCACAAGGTAGTGGAAGGGTGCTGTGTTGGGAGATCAGAGAATGCAGGGAAGAGCCCAAATGTGGGGAACCACAGAGGCTCTCTTAAGGAGGGAAGGGCATTATGAAACCTTCTTTAGAGGAGTAGGGGCAGTGTTTTTGAGCCCCATCCCTAGATCAGACACCAAGTTGCTGTGTGCCTTTAGAGTGGTCGCCCCACAGAGTCTGTCTCCCTGTCTGTAGCACTTTGCAGCCCCGGCTGTTGTGCAGCAGTGGTCAACAGAACCCTCTTCTTAGGGAACACATTGTCACTGTCATGCAAGGTCAGAATCTGAGGCATGCCAAGCTTAGGAGATTCCCCACACTTGCAGGGACTCTGCATACCTTCTTTCTTTAATAGGATGGATGGCCACCTCCAGAACACTGGCCCTGCCTCTCATGATGGGCTCATCTTTCCCAGTGCCATCCCCTGACCAGTGCTGACTATTGGTGAATGGCTTCTCCAGTTGGGATGAGGTCAGGTGAGCTGCAGGCAGGAAGGGGATAGTCACAGCCACATACTGTGCCCACTGCCCCAGCAAGAGGGGACCTACCTTCTCCCTGCTGTCCCAGAACCAGAGAGTATATAGGGCCCATAGCCCAGCGTATATCTCAAGAAGGCAGATTGTGGCCCTCACACAGTTGCCTCTGGAGGTCATGAGTTACCCAGGACAAGAGGTATTCAGGAGAGAGTGGGCATTTGTAGGAAGGATTCAGTTATGTACTGTCTGTGCTCTGGCAGTGTCTTCTCAACCAGAATCCACTCAACACGGTGCTCATATGGTGGGTGCTGGCATGGTGAGTTCAGCCCAGGGTGGCCCCAGGAGCTGTCTGCCCTCCCTGGGCTTCTAGAGCACTTCTCCAACTTCTTCCTAGCAGGTCTGTCCTTCATGGTGTTACATATGGCAGAGGCATTGTCCATCTGTCAGCTGAGGGAACCTGTTTCTGGGGAGGGCTGTTTCTCTGAGGACAAGGGGAGTCCTTGGTTGACGTCAGGGATCCTGAATCCCTGGGGTTGTACCCATGAGGTTTGTAATGTCTTCCAGTGAGGTCCAAGGGTAGAGTGAGCACTGCAGCTCCTTTTAGCTGCAGTTTCAGTATGGGCATCAGTGTGTTGTTTCCATTTTACAGAGGAGGAAATTGAGGTACAGAATAGGTTAGTAAGTTCTCCACAGTCACACAGCCTCTATGTGGTGGAGCCAGGAGTTTAATCAGAGCTGTCTGTTCCCTATCCATCCCAGCGTCTGGGACTTCTTTCCAGTCCCTTCTGCATACCTTGGTGGTCAGAGAACCTCTCCTATAGATGGCTCTGGCCTCCACCCTCACATCCTTGCCTGCCTCCTCTCTGCATGGGCTGCTCCCTACTTTTGAGGCCTCTTCTCTTCCTCCTTCCTGCTACCTTGTGTGCTGGCACTGAGCCCTGGGCCCACAAAACAAATCAGCTCCCCTGCTTAGCCCCACGGCTCCTCCTTCCACTGCCTAAGTCAGTGTGCGCTTGGGTACTCGCCCCTGCTTCCTTCTTCTTTTGTCCTACATCCAAACATTCCTTGTCTTTTCCACTCTTATGACATGATTTTATACCGTTTATGGATCTGAAGCCAGACTCTTCTATTCTCCAGCCATCTGAGAAGTGGCTGCTTGCTGGCTTTCCTGGAAGTTGCCCTGCCTCATTCTCTGACATAGGCCTTCTTTGTTCCTTGCAGCAGAACATCCTGTTCCAGTGTAGCCAAGACGTTTTTTCCAGAAAGAATCCTCTTCCACCATAGCTAATGTGAATATTAATAACTGTCACCTGGATGGCAGGTACTATTGTCATCTGCAGTGGACCCAGGAGCCCCAGGAAAAGGCAGTTATAGGCCTGAGGCCACAGAGCCAGAAGGTGTGGGGACAGGCTTCAAAGCCAGTGCTGTGGCTCCCAGACTGCTCTTGACCCCTGTGTCACTGATGTCCCTATATCACTGCTGTCCTTATGCCAATGAAGTATTCTCTGACCCCTTCCTTGAGGTAGGCAGAGGCTCCAAGTATGGTTGGGCAAGCTGTGCACTACTCAACTCAAGAGAGTGCCATTTCCTTTGCAGCCACTGAGACTTGATTGTTTGCGACAATGACTTTCTGGCAGATGGTAGATTAGTGTGCTAATGCTGATGTTGCAGGCTGCTTCCAGGGAACCACCTGGACCCCATGCTTCCTCTGCCCTTCAACCCAGCAGCACAGATGATGGCCTTGTTTCTCCCACACTCCAGAACCTCACCAGGGACTGGCCGTGCACTGAACTACATGCATGTAATAAGAGCTAACAATTCTTGAACAACTCCTGCATGCCAAGTACTCCTCTAAACACTTACCTGATGGCCTTTTATAATCTCCTGGGATATATTGGTCATTCTCTCTGTCTGTACGTGGAGAAACCGAGGCTTAGCAAGCTTGGTGACTTGCCAGTTTGCCTGGTCAGTGCAGAGGCTACATCTTACTCACTCAGTCCCTATTCTTTTCCACTCTAGTCCCAGACCTCTCTGTTGGATGCTGTTTGGAGAATGTGGTGGTGTGTGGTGGGGATCTTCTGAGGGAGTCCTAGTCCCAGGAATAGTCCCTCAAGTACCAGGATGCCGCAGCAGCAGGGAAAGGGCTCAGGAGTGAAGACAGCTTGTTCTCTAGCCTGGCTGTCCCTCAGCTGCCTGCCTGTCTTTCCTAGGGTGTCTCCATAAACAAAGATCTACTGTGGCCTATGTCACCTTCCAGATGAGTCCTGGAAGGCAGACAGAAAACACAAAGTTTGTTGGACAAGTGAGCAAACTGAGGCCCCCGATGGCTCAATCATTTGCTCAGAACCACACAGAACACCCAGTTGGATTGGAACTGTAAAGTCAAGTCCATAAGAAAGAATCTTGCCTCCTTGAGCCTCTGTCCATGGTCTTGCCAGCCCTATAGGGCTGATATCAGCCCCCTGGCCAGTGCCTGGGAAGACTTGCCCTGCCCCGAGTCAGCTTATTTGTTCAGAAGGTATGTGCCCAACTCCAGCAGAGAGCAGTTGTCCCTGTCTTGGGGGTACAGAGTCCTAGAAACACACTGCCTAGCCAGGTAGGGGAGGCTCTGTTGGAAGCTGGTGGCATCAGTTGGGAATCCAGGCTATTACCACAGTAGACAGGGTAAGGAAGGACACAGGAGGGGGCTATGTGGAGACCTTTGCTATGGCCTAAGTTGCTCTGTCTTGCCAGGGACCCTGCATCAGGCCCTCAGTGCTGTGAGTCTGTTTCCTCACCTGACAGTCAGAACAGCTGAGCTTCACTGAGTGTGAAGATATGCTGAGAGCCCTTCCCTGTGCCAGGCACCAATGTTGCCCTGAATGTGGGTTGAGATGCCAGCTTCCAAAGTGCAGCAGCTGTTCCTTGTTTGGGAGTAGGTCCCTGGGCCCCAGGGCAACAGAAGAGGCCAAGGCACTTACTGTCCCGCAGAACTGTCCTGTGCCCACTTGAGCCCTGCCCACACACGTGTTACTGAGTCTTCCTGCTCCCCTTCCAGCTGCAGAACCAGGTCACCCACAGGGTCAGGGCAGATGTGGGCCACCTGCTCAGATCAATAGGATGGGTTGGGGACTGCTTCTCTGGGCCACCACCTAACACTTCTCTGGCCAAGTAGCCCCAGGTCTAGAGATGGAGTGTGATGCCTGGTGCTCCTGTGTGTGTGTGTCTTCATGCATGTGTGAATACATGTGTGTACCTGTGTGAGAGCACATTACATGTATGTGAACATATGAATGCACTGGGACTGCCCCTTCAGTGGGTCCTTGTCCTTCTGGGGCACTTGCTTGGTCTACACTTTGATTTGAATGCACTTACTGAGCATGTACCAAGCAGTAGGTACTGAGCTGGCCACAAGGAGGCCATAGGGAACCAGAGAGACACGTCCTCTTTGATGGAGATGACAGTCTAGTGGGACAGACTGATACTGATCAAAACATTGAAACTAATTTAAAATTGCAATAGTGGCAAGAGTGAGGAAAGAGAATCCATAATGCACCTAGAATGAGGTACAGTCTTGGAGGGCTTTCCTGAGAAGGTGGCATTTGAGCCCAACTTCTAGGAGAGATGCAGAAGACAGCAAGGATAGGGGAGGGAAGAGCATTTTAGACAGGACATTATGGGCAAGAAAACATGGAAAGGCCATTGTATGTGAAGCACAGAAGAGGCAGGGGGTGGGTACATGAGGTGCCAGGACCAGGGTCAAGTGGGGAGAGCCTTGAAGGGGCTGAAGGGCTGAAGTCAGTGACAAGCTGGACTCCTTGTCTGGGCTATGTGTCTTGCCTGTTGCATGAGTGTTTGCCCCCAGGCCAGTAGAGGTGGAGAGGGAGACATCAGGGAAACCATCTAAAACTTTTAAAAATATCTCTCAGGGTGCAGTTTTATTTGGGAGGCATCTTAAAGGGCCCCACATCCAGAACAGCAGGGTGTGAGAATTGTGTCGGTTCTAGTCCAAAGATCCCTTTCCCTGCTGTAACACAAAAAATACAGAGAAGTCAGGAGCTCCCTGAAGACTTGGGGGGGGGGGGCTCCTTTCTTCTCCTGGGCCTCGATTTCTCCTCTGAACCAGTTTCTGACAGTCCTTCAGAGATGCCCTTTTGGTGTTATGGTCCAATGGGGAAGATGAGGCTATAGGGTAATGAGAGGCAGGCCAGGTCAGGGCCTGAGTGATTTGAGCACCTCCAGGGCCTCCCATACCCCACACCAACTGTGAGGGTCACGGGAGTCAGTCCCAGGCCTGGCAGCCTTAGATTCTGCATCGAGAATACTCAGATAGACCCCTCTGCCAGCCAGAGCCTGTGATCTGTGGTTCTTACTATCCCGGTGGGGCAGCAGGGTGCTCTCCTGTGGCTGGAACAGTGACTACTGCCAGTGAAGGCAGAAGTAATTTGGTATGTTGAGACCCAGCATGGTCTAACCAACACTACCCTAATCCCATTAGGGTTGCGCATCTTTGGGTGAGCGCCAGGTGGGTGCCTTGGGTCCCTACGGGCTGTGCCTCGCTGACTGGCCGTGTCCCGCAGGTTTTCTCGGTCCGATGAGCTGTCGAGGCACCGGCGCTCGCACTCCGGCGTGAAGCCATACCAGTGTCCCGTGTGCGAGAAGAAGTTCGCACGGAGTGACCATCTCTCCAAGCACATCAAGGTGCACCGCTTCCCACGGAGCAGCCGGTCTGTGCGCGCGATGAACTAAGCGCACCCACCAGTCCCAACCCTGCCTCCCAGCCCCCAGACCCATTTTTTTTAAAACAATAATTTATTTGCCTCCTTCAGAGGGATGTGACAGTGTTACCAGCCCACCTTCTGAAACCTAAGAGGTGAGATCCCAGAGCCATCACCCACTGCCTTTCCTGGGAGGAATTAGAGCCGTGCACCTGCGTCCCTGGGGCTGGGTCACCAGCGCCTAGGGCTGGAGGCAGGCTTTGGTGCCTTTGTGCTTTCGTGCCTTCCAGCAGTAGCCCAGCCTGTGCCACAGCCATCAGCTGGAAGCAGGGTTTTGGGGCCCTGGCCCTTCTCCCACTGGGCTCCTTGCCTGGGCCAAAGCCAACACTTTATGTCTGGGGAAGAAGAAATGTGCAGTTTTGAAATTTCAGTTTCCAGAGGGAGCCATGCTGGGAAGAAGGAAGTAGGCCAAAAGTCCAGGACTGCACTGTGGTGTGAGGGTAGCTGCTTTCTAAGATGCACCTCTCAGCAGGATGAATAGAGGGTATGGCAGGGCTCTTATGGCCCCTGGTCCCTGGGGCCTATGTGGTGAGAGGCAAAAAGTGCCCCCCTGCCTCCTGGGGGTGACAGTGTATGTGCTTGTGTTAAATGTGAAAGACGAACAGAACTATAAGCATCTGTCCCCAGCGTGGCTCATTCCCGTCTCCTGTTTTCCAGACAAATGCTGACACCAGCCTCTAGGTTCACCTTCCAGAGGAGAGGGGAGCAGACTGCTCTGGGTGTGAGAGAACTAGGTAGAGCCTCCCAGCCCTGATTTAGAAATGCATTCCTTATTTTGTCTAGAAATTAATATCAAACAAACTAGCTTGTTTTGACAGGTTTATTTCACATCCTATGAATGTATGTAAATAAACTGTACATAGGTACATCTACGTAAAATATCTTTTAATAACATCGACATTTATGTAAATTTGAAATTTAAAAATCTATAAAGGTGGTGTACATATGTTACAATTATGTATATTTTATTTGGTCCTTCATAAAAATATATTTACTTTGCCAATAAAAAGAAAAAAGAAGTCAGCTGCCTTTTTTTTTGGCATTCGTGTGGGTTTCCTCCACTATGCTGGGATGATGCTGGGGTTGTCTGTGTGTCTACATTTGTAGACTTCAGAGGATCTTGTTTTGTCCCAGAGAGATACAGAAGTCTCTCTGGTTTTGCTTACTATAGTTTTACCCCTTTTACCTATAGTGACCTCTTCTCTCCTTAAGCCTAAGTCCAACCCATATTCTGGAATCACCCATGGGAAGCTGCATCAGGCCAGATTAGTCCTGCACAGATCACCTGCCCCCCTGTCTTGCTATTTGAGTCCCTCACTCAGCAGTTATACCATATTCAGTTCATCTGGGACATTTTGTGTGCCTCCTGTATGCTTGTGAGCTGTGTCTTGATGGCAAGTCATTTACTCACTTCCTCTGGACCATTTCCTATTTGCAGGGAGTAGACTGTATTACGAGTCTTGTCCAGGTAGTGGTGAGATGCAGGGGCCATCGTATAGAGTTAGGCCACCTGCTTCATCCTTCCAAAGTCCCTGATGTGTTTAGATCACCCACTATTGAGAAGTGGATACATGCATACATCCTCTATCAGGTGGGATTTTGGAAACTGGGGCCAGAGAACAAGGAGAGACTGTAGGCTCTGCAGGAAATAGCCCTATGGAAGTGACCAGGTCTGGCCTGCTACAGCAGCTCAACTGGTGGGAGGTAGGGCGAGAAGGCTTCCCTGGGTTACCCACATGCAGTGAGAGATAAGAACCTTTTAGAGGCGACCCTTTCCTGTAGACCCAGCTCTTTAGAAGACCTATATACAAGTTGGGGCAAGTGTTTCTCATTGAGGTTCTGGGAGTTCTTGAAGCAATTGGCAGATAAGATTTCCAGCAGAGAGATTTCTGGGATGTGTGTGTGTGTGTGTGTGAAGATGTGCATCACAGGAGGTGGAGGCCACTGTTCTGGCTGCCTTGGGACCTGGCTGCTGCTTGTCTGTTCCATCCAGTGGGAGCTGGCAGACACGGAACTTTCATGTGTGCTCAGTGCCCAGCATGGCTGTTGGGAGGATAGACATCCCATTCTTACTGGCCTGTCTTGGGGAAAGAACTGGGCCTCATAAACTTTGCCCTTTGCCCTGAATGGCCATACCCTCTGAAGACAAACATGCCCTGGGGAAGTGAGGCATTGATTTCCAGCTCCACCAACATAATCTTTCTTCATCTGTAAACAAACAACACAGCCCCAGATAAGAGGGAATTCAGACAGGGGTACTCTCATTTGGTCAGGATGGTGGAAGTGGAGGAGGAATGAAGCTGTGGCACATGTATCTCCATGGCCGAGAACCTACCCAGACATACTCCTCATCTTTCTTCAGTGTAATGCCCCAGCAACACATCTTACTCCCAATCCCTCCAGTTGACCTATCAGGCCAAGGCTAGGGTGGCTATCTTTGGCAGAGAGTATGTGGAGTGGTCTAAGTGGTTCCCCTGTCTGGGCACACTTGAGCCACACCTACCCCAAGGTGAGTCTGCTTCATGGAAGTCTTGGCTGAGAGGAACTAGGAGTGCTCAGCAAGACATGGAGCAGGGTCATGGAGCAAAGCACAGGAGTCATGCTGAGTGTTGACCCTTGGCTCCACCACTCTGGGTAGGCTTCTTAAATGTCTCCAGATTCCAGTTCCTTCACCTTGCAGAACAGGTGGACATGAATGTACTCAGATCTCGTTGTGGTGGTAAATGGTAAGTGAGGGCACAAATTCTAGTTTGGAGGACAACTAGAATGCAAACCTACTTCCTGTCAGGGTGGGTAGTCTGGGGAACTTGTGCCTTCTTTTTTCTCCACTGCAGATACCACTGTGGGGACCCAAGTGAAGATGACAGTTGGGGTGCCTAGCTTGGCCCCTGCCTCTGGGAGACCCCTGTGCCACCTCCTCTTACCCTCTGTGATTTCTGTGGCTAAAAGAAGAGTCCTTGTCTTGGCCTGCGAGCTGAGAAAGCAGATTGTGACATGACGTGTATCCTGCAATTATCTGTAGTAGGGAGGAGTTTGGAAGGTCACAGAGAAGAAAACCTACACATTACAACCCACTCCCACCTTATCCTGTTCAGTGTCTGCCTGCAAGGCACAAAGGAGAAAGGAAGTATCATTTATCAACCACTTTACCAAGTAGCACATGGGTCAAGCTGCTGTAACAAAGAAGTCCCCAAATTCCATGGTTCAAACAAAGTAGAAGTTTATTTTCCTCTATTTAACAGTCTGAAAGTAAGCAGGCTGACTTGATATGGTGGCTGTAGTGTGAGACACACAGGCTCCTCTTTTGCTGCTTGCTCTTGCAGGTTCTAGGGTGCTGAGTTAAGATGTCTCAAAGGTCCAGCTGGTGTAGGCAGGTGAGGGGCCCTATGTTCCCACCCTGCCCCGCAAGGCATGGACTGAGATGTGCACCATCTCTTTTATTCATGTCCCATTGGCCAGAAGGAAGTCATACGGCTTCATCAGCTACAAGGCAAGTTGAAACATGTAGTCTCCAGCTGAAAGGTATGCGCCCAGCTAAAATATGGGGAATCTACTATGGGAGAAAGTAGGGGAAGAGGAAGTGGAGGGTCGCCAGCAGTTTCCACTGGAAGCCCAGTGTGCCCTCAACTTCCCACAAGCCTGCAGAGCATAGGAAAGCCATAGAGCACCAAACTGAGTTCAGCTCCTGCAGTCCACATCCTCAGACAGGACATCCAACAAGTGGGGAACCAATGGTTAGGTTTCCAGGGACTGAATTGTCAGGAAGGGAAACTTGGTCAGGAAGCAGGAGGCCCCATACAAAATTTTCACTCCTGTGGACAAAAGCCAGCCCTTGCAATTGTCTTCACAGTCTTCTTCGTCTCCCTTTTCCTTCCCTCCTCCTCCTCTTTTCCTGTTCCTCGTCTTCTTCTCCTTCTTCTCCTCCTTCTCCTTCTTTTCCTTTTCTTTCTCCTCTCCTCCTCCTCCCCCTCCTTCTTTCCCCCTCCTCCTTCTCCTTCTCTTTCTCCTTCTCTTTCTTCTTTTTCTGATACTGATGATTGAACCCAGGGCCTTCATACCAAGCTACATCCAATCATTAAGTTGGCCAGGTTGGGCTTGAACTTGTGATCATCCTGCTTCAGCCTCCCAGAGTACTGAGATTACAGACATGCACTACCATACCTGACCCACTGTCTGCTTCTAAATAGGACCCAGAGTCTGTGCAGGAACCATGTGGTGAGGTGGACAGAGTCAGAAGAGCCTGGAATCAATGCTTCCCTGAGTAATTGTAGGTTTGCTTATGCTGTATTGTTTCAGGGAACTGCTGGGAATGGGTTTATTCCATACAGGTGTGAGGAAGAGATCTGCCCTTCTACAAGGGGATGGAGAATGCGGACAAGGTTGATCTAGTATGTGTCAAACAGCAGTTCTTTTTGTGTTTTGTTTTGAGGCAGGATCTCACTATGTATTCTAGGCTGGCCTTGAACTCACTGCATAGCTCATGCTGGCCTCGAACTTTCAGTGATTCTCCTGTCTCACCCTCCCAAGTGCTGAGGTTACAGATGTGTGGTACCATGCTTGGCTCAAACAGCAGTTCTGAATAGGACTTGCTTTATTGGAGGATAGGCAGGAATGTAGACAGCTGTTCTACAGCCTATTTCAAAGGTACAGAATGAGGCAAAGAGAGCAGTATCTGGGAGACTCAGAGAAAGCTCACACTTAGATGGTCCCCATGGGGCCCAAGCAGCCATCTCCAATAAAGAAGGAATGGTACTGCCATCTGCAAGGCCAATGAAGAGACCCAGGCTGCAAAAGCACAGTGCCAGCAGAAGGTGAAAAGAAAGATGCAAGAGAATGGAGATACAAGGACACACAAGCTCAGGGCATGATTAAAATCTTCGTAGGAAGCCACAAGCAAGGAGGAAAGTATAGAGATGTCCCAACACACTGCAAGTGTGAACATGCAGAGATCTCCCTGGGTGCTGTGAGAAAGGACATTGAAAGGTACATGAACACCAGGGGAGGACAAAACAAAGTCGCTGCTGTTAGGGGAGATGAGAGGTCTGAGTCTTGGACAATGGAACAGGTACCAAGGCCTCAGAAAATATCTTGCCCAGGGAGGGTAGGAGACCAAGGTGAGTGGACTTTGGAGGCTGGGTGAGCTTGACTGCATGGGTTGACCATTGTGAGTGTAAAGAGTCCTCATCTATGAAATGAGTACAACAATGCTGAGCTCCCAAGATTGTGGGAAGGTGGAGCAAATTTGCATATTTAAAACAACAGAACCACTGCAGAATGGACAAGAGGCAACAATAAATGATGAGATGGAAAGGAGAAAAATGCAAAATCAAAAGGAAGTTCTCCTGCCTGAGGAACAAGTCTAAAGTAACAATAAGGACACAGAATCTCAAATGCAGCTTACATTCAGCAAAGTCCTTCTGTGTGCCACAGAGCTGTCAGTCCTGATCAAGAAGGGCCACCAGAACCCAGAAAGAAGGACACACACACACACACACACATCCCACTATGGAGGCCTGGACCAATCTGCCCAGCCATTTTACCAGCTTGGCTCCTGCATGAACTCCAGTAGCCCTTGTAGTACAAGGACTCACCAGCATGTAGCATGGATAGAGATGGCAGCTGGTCCTCAGAAACCAGCTGGGACATTCCTTGCTTCCCCAAAAGGACAGCTGATATTGTAAAACCCCAAGGGCTGTCCCAGTCTTGGGTGGCTTCTGGAATTAGAGTTAGGAGTGGAGTTACCACAGCACTGGAAAACCCCCCTGCAGCCAACTGAGAGTGGAGCAGAGGGTGGAAACAGGGTGGTTGGAGTTGTAACTGTCTGATAAAACAGAGTAAATACATTTTTGTAGAAATACACATAAATAA